TTTTTTTTTTTGGCCCCCACTCCTGATACAGTGGAGGACAGACTCAGTGAGTGGTGGGTGGAGGGATGGAGGAGAGAAAGAGGGGGCTCTTGTTTTGTAAAAAGTGTAACATTCATGAGTGTTTGTCTGGTATGCAAGTGGACAGCAGCGAACATGAGGAAACAGCAAAAAGCAAGTTGTAAGGGGCTACCGATGGTGTTGTATTAATTAAGAGGGTTTGGACTGAAAACAGGCGTGTCAGGTGTAATCAAGAGTCCAATATTCTTGTATATAGGACAACGGCTGATCATGTCATCTACAAGCAACAGAAAGCCAAGAAAGGGCCAAAGAAACATCAGGTTAGTCAATCATTCCCCTCCCTTTGAACCTATTTATTGACTTGTCATTAATTTGTTATCTAGCTAAAGTTGTCCAAGCCAGTCCCTTCCAAGATAACACAACTGAAGCAAGGAGGAAGAGGGGGAGGAGGGAGAGGGGGACCATCTGGGTCCCACGGTGAAAGTCTCCACACCATACGCAGCGGAGAGCTGACCGCCTTGCGTCGATTTGAAGACAGTGACGACAGTTGTGACTCCAACCCATTCTCTGACATGGAGGACGCCTGCCAGGACCTGATAGCTAGACTCCATTAGCCCTCACCCCTCTTTCATATGAAACATGTGTGTGATATTTATCAACTCAACATTCGTTTTCAATATTATTCAGATCAGGCACCAGAGAAAAATACGCGCGCGGTTTTGATGTGTTGTGCGCATGCGTGAGTACCCGTATGGTGGGCGTGTATTAGAGATGGCAGGACAGCGGACGGCTGCCGAGCTTGTGACTAGAGTCCAGCAGTTAGCGCGGCCGAGATATGTCGGCGGCGTGTGGAAGAAGCCGCTGGTCAGCGGGAGAGAATTAGCGGCCGCGCGCCGTGCATTTTTGGCCGAGGGCGGCGTGGAATGGCCGGCCAAGCCACTGCGGGACAGAGGGGCAGACAAACCTTTCAAGTTGAGCCGCAAGGAGCGCGAAAGGGAGCAACGGTGAGCGGGAGCTGTTGCATCTATCAGCGACTAATCTCGCAGGCCTGATAATCGGACACCACCAGTGCGCCATCTGGTGTCCGAAAGGCCCGAGGTGTCCGAATAACTTGGGGTGACGTTTTTTTGCAGGAAGGTGCTCATAGAAGAGAACATGCGTCGGATGCCGCAGATGGTGGCGGAGTACCGTAAGCAGCGGCGAGAGCAGAGAGAGGCGGGAAGGAGGGCGAAGGAGAAGACAGAGGAACAGCGATATCTGCTGGCCACGGGGAAGATGAAGGAAGAGGGGCCTCACTGGCAGATATTCAAAGACACCAAGAGATAGCCAAAACTCATACTCGACCCTATGCACACACACACACCATCAATACCACATACTGCTATCGAATCTTCACACAATTAAGGAAGTTGCCCATTGTTTCTGGAAATAAAAAATAGAGGAGAAATTAAAGGGAAGGCAATAATGTATGAGTGTTCCCTCCTAAATTAAAATGCTCCCATATTTCCCCATGTCACATCCCCACATTTTGTCTTCTCCCCCTATCTTCCTCCTGCCTGGCGTAATTCCACCTATCTCACTCCAGGGATATTCAATGTTTTTTTTGCACGAGTACAGCAAAATCAATCTTTAAAAATGTGATAACTGTGATGAGAAGATCGTGAATCAGTTGGTGAATGGATGAATAAGTGCAAAAATCTTGTGAACTTGTGCCGTGAACTATGTACACTTTAACAACAGACATAAGAGCTTTTCTCTGTAAAAAAACTCCAGTTATATTATCTTGAGAAATAAAAGCATAGCACGATAATTTTTTCTATACAAAATATAACAGTTGTCGATGAAGGGGTGAAGGGGGAAGAAACTGGACGATTTAGAACAACGGTAGCAGTAGTAAGAGGTGGGTGGACAGTGTAACATGGGGGTGGGGGTTGTTTGTGTGATGAAAGAAGGTAGTGAATGAAAGAGGTGTGTGTGTCTCTTGTCTCTCTCTCTCTCATGGTTCTTGATAGGCCTAGCTCGGCTTCATTATGTGTGACTTCATGTGGGCACTCCGACTTTTCACTTTTGTGAAAACCCTGCAGGAGAGAGCATAGTGCATTAGTGAGACGTTTACAAAACTGAGGAAACTACGAAAAGGTTTTGGGAACACACTTTCACCTACGAACACACTATATATACACACTGTCTGAAGATTTTGACAAGTTGGCAAAATGTACAGGCTTAGAGATTTTCTTAAATGTTAAGCACAACGTTGGTGATTTAATTTGTACATACCTGCCACAGCGATTACAGGGGTAGTACCCCTCGTGTTCTCCGGGACTCGAGCTGGACATCTTCTTCTTCCCCAGCGGCGAGCGTTTGTTCCCTGGAGAGGGTTTCGGGGAGGGGGTGTGGTAGGCCGCCCCGCCCCTCGCGGGACTCCGTGGCTGGGGGAGGTCCAGGAGGGCACGCGCTATCTCCAGATGCTGGGCACTCCTGCATAGATCACATGATCATCACGTGACAGAGTGTTCGGGTCACATGACCAAATTATTACACTAAATTTACAGTGAGCAACTGAAAATTGCTTCTTGAGCAGTGTGATGTAAAATCTGAGGAATGTAGGCCTTGTCAAATTTATGAGCTCAAAGCTGTAAAGTTTGTGGCAGTATAATTATGTACCTCATTTCAGAGGAGGAGGGAGGACGGCCGTGTTTGATAGGGCCGTTGGAGCCGGCCCGTACGGCTGGGGGGAGGGAAGAGTGATGGTGGTGGTGGTGAGGGTGTGAGGAGGGGAGGACGCTGGGGGGTGCCGAGGAGGAGGAGGGCATGGAGGGGGAGGACGATCGGACTTCCTTCTTGTCTGCCTTTGGGTAGAAGCTGAAGAGAGAGGAGAAGAGAAGTGAGTACATATCATTGTGTGTCCATACAGTATATACTACATACCTTCCTCCGTGGATCCTGATGTGACCATTGAGAGCAAATATTGACGTGAACACCTGCAGCGAGTGACGGGAGAAAACATTGTGTTAGAGGGTAAACGACGCAAGGAAACACACACAAAACCTACACTGCAAGGTGCTAGTGGAAATAACCGTTCATAGTGGTCTCATATCACGTTTAGTACGTTGATAGACAACTACTACAGTACATCCACAAACCTGAGTACAGCCGGGGTATTTGCACTTGTACTGCTGCACCGGAGTACCGTAAGACGGCTTCGAGGAGTGAGGGGCGTAGACGATGGGGAGGTCAAAGTGCGGAGCCATTGGTGGGCGTGGCATTGCTCCAGAATCACCGTAAGGCTTCCTCTGATGTTTGTCGGTGTTATGGTCGGCTTTGGGGAGGGCGTGGTGGGGCGGGACCAGAGAGGAAGGCTCCGCCTCGCTGGAGGAGGAGGAGGATGCATACGAGGAGTGGCTGCGAGGAAAGTTGAGGTCCTCGTCTGACATGATCTTAGGGAGAGAGGAGAAATTGACGTTAGATTTCGCTCTTGGTGTTCATAGGTACTTAGAGTGGGGCTGCAATAGTGTTTGTACGTTTTTTCTAGATGCACTTTCTAGAGGCACCTTATAGAGGCACTTTTTACTTCTTACATATGTAGATGAAGTGGTAAATATGTCAACTAGTGGCACCTATCAGCAGGACTTGTAGTTGGAAAAACAACAATAAGACGGGGGGAGGGAGGGACTTCACTAGAGAGTAAGAGAACCCAAACCTCTTCGCTGACGTGTCTGTTTCTTCCCCTGTACTCGTCACTGCAGTACTTCTTCCAATAGTAGTAGTATTCAGTCACCTCTGGCAGTGTCTTTCCCTCCACCTGAGATGGTGTGTGTGTGTGCGTGTGAGTGAGAGAGAGAGAGAGAGATACGTAAATGAAAATAAAAAAATCGCAGCTTGGCTTAATAGTGCATACCTTACACTAACAAACCAAGCAACCTATCTTTATGCCCTATTACAGCTGTTGGTTGTGAACTCACGGCGCTCTTGAGAAGGTGGAACTGTTTGCGGTGGACTCTCCAGGCCCTGCGGAACTGCTGTCTCTCCCTGGCCGACCATTGTCTGCTGCCACTGTAGTGGTAGGTGGCCATGGGGTGGTCAGGAGGGCACACCAACTTCCCCGTCAGCAGCAAACGAATAGCCTCCTGTAATTAACAAACACACACACACTCACTGGGTGAGCGACTGGATTAGACTTAGTTTAGCATCACAAATCGATTGAGGACAACATGTGTTCATTCTTGGAATTCCGAAAATGGGTTTTACCACAGACAAATTTGTATCTAGGTGCATGCCTCTACAAGAATATAGGAAAATCTGTTTTGGAACGGAATTTTAACCGAACAATGTAAGCAAAAGAGAATTTTGTTCTAGTGTGAGCGTGCACCTAGAAAGGTTGGGGTGTGGTACGATAATTTTCACCCAAAAAAAACCGCTATGCAGTTTACGGTATGTAGTAGTTAAAGTACCAGCCGGAGTACTCCACAGAAATCAGTGTGTGCGGGGTTAAAGTTCGAGAAGGTCATGTGGCACGAGCCACGCAGCTAGAGACAATTTACCTTGATGGATCCTCCAGTGTTATGGAGGATGTGGAGGGCGTACTCCTTGTTTCGGCCGGCGTGGAGCATGGCGGGGGAGCAGGCCAGCTCCAGGAATCCGTCTATGACGCTCTCGTCCTCTTCCAGAGGCTGGGAGAGAGGTTTCCAGACCTGCTGGGCCTTGTGGGGGTCCTGGGAGGCTGGTTGGTGGTCTCCGTTGGCTGCGGGGGGTGAGGGAAGAGAGGGGGATAGAGGCAAGTAATGGTTTATGTGTAAGCATTGAACATTGAAGCAAATGTGAGGAAGTGGAGAGAGGGGATTATGTAGCATCGAAGTACAGGTGTAAAGGAATGGTATAGGAGTGGAGGGGCAAGGTTTTATGTAAGCACTGACTGCAATAATTTAAGGCAGTTTTAAGGGAGCAATGAGAGATGGGTTAGGGGTAAGAGGAGGGAGGGGTAGGGGAGACGTGTCAGGACAGTGCAAGATTTGACACGTTGTTAGGGGAGGGGGAATACTGCAGCAGAGAGCAGCAGAAAGTGTTTTAGGAGACTCTGGACAAAGTGCCATCTTGTGAAGCTCTCATCCACACCTCTGGACTACACTTCAAAGTGAACCACAATGTTGGCAATACAGGCACTAGAGTCTTTGATCTATTACAGCTAGGATGAGGTCTCTACTGCCAATACCCAGGGACCCACCCTGGCAGCAGGGAGGGAGGACGGCCTGAAACTGTCTCCCAATGTTGATCTTGGGCTCAAGGTACGCCACCCCTTCCTGATCCATCTCCGAGGACTTCCTGTGATCGCTGCTTCTCCTCGCGCTCCACGGCTGAAGGATCCTACTTGGGGTCCCTGTGGAGGGAGGGGTATTGGACTCTATACCACACAATAGATGTACACTGTTTGAAATAAGACCTCCCTGAAATTATAGTGAAATTTTATTTGTGGAAAAACAAACACTAGAGCACGTGCAATGTACGTCCATATTTAAACTCCCCAGTAGTGAAGCAATCAAAACACTCATACAAACACGGTAATAGGCTAGGCCAATACTTTGGTGCAACTGTGTGTGTGAGACAATACAGTCTTATTGAACTTCAATGTATTGGTACCATGGTCCATGAAATAAGTGTTGTCTATTGCAGGCAACATGTTCATAGACCACCGTCCACACTTTTGTTGCACCGTGCCCTTTGCCCTTTTGGGTACAGTTTCCCGCAAGTCGCCAACTAGACAGAAGTAAACATGAATTATAGCTGCCAGGACATTGTTAACGCACCCAAAAGGGTAGTTATTGAGGGTGAATGATACGTACTAAGAGAGAGGCACTATATACTAGAGCAAGGCAACAGCTGCCAAGTGACGCACTAGACAAAACATAGACTAAGGTGCCCCACATCCCCTGAGAACTACTTTTACTATTAGATATTGAGACTTTACAGCGTTGTTTGTCTGTCTTCTAAAGGGCAAATTGGTGTTTAATTGCAGCATGTACGAGCAATGAGAACATGTATAAGTACACATTAGTGCACTACACAGACAGGGTTTTGAAAAACGATGTCACTTCCTCCATTTGTGTAATAAAGTAATGTTGAGGGAAACAAGGAACCACTGTATGTATGTATGTATGTATGTATGTGTATGTATGTATGTATGTGTGTGTATGTATGTATGTATGTATGTATGTACAAACATTGTACCTGGAACAGTAGCCAGCATGGCCATGGATCGAGCAGGACTGAGGATCGGGGGAGGGGTGTACGGAGGACTCGAGCCAAGTCTGTGTCGCTCCAGCGATGGACTCGTGTGGGCGGGGATGTGGATGTTGCCAGGGCGACGCTTGTCCTCGTCCTCCTCCCTCCTGGCCCCGCCCCCTCCTCCTCCGTTCTCCATCTTCTCCAGGGCCTCGACCGCCCGACACAAGTCGTCGAGTGTCGCGCCCTTTGACCCCACTCGACCTCCGCCCGAGACCCCCACATTTCCCTCCTGAGCCCCGCCCACTGCTCCGGTCATTGTCCCCGCATCCTGCGTGGCTCCGCCCAGGACGGGCGGGGGAGGCATGACATGTTGAGAGGGGTGGAGCTGGGAGGTGTCAAAGGTGAAGATGGACGGTTCTCCAGACTTCTTCTCGCTGCCATCATTTTCATTGGAGTCCCGCGACGGACGCCTCTTCTTCTTCCCGGAGGGAGAGGGAGACGAAGAGTTGCTGTGCTTCTTCCCAGAGGATTTCTTGGTCGAGTTGGCCTCGTTGGGTGGGTGTGGCTTGTTGCCAGCACCATCGGTCTGAGCGTCAGCCGAGGTTGAGCTGCTCTGGTTTTGGTTGGCAGTAAACGGCTGAAGGAGAGGGTGACAAATGACGTAATATTGTACATTGTGGTGTGTGCATTTTTCGTGGGTGTCATTCAATAAATTGTGCTCCGAAAAACGATCATTCAATGTTACAGGCATGGGTACGATCATTCAATGTTGCAGGCATGGGTACGATCATTCAATGTTGACAGGCATGGGTACGATCATTCAATGTTGCAGGCATGGGTACGATCATTCAATGTTGCAGGCATGGGTACGATCATTCAATGTTGCAGGCATTGGTACATTGCTATCTGTGAAAAACTTCTAAATTGCCGAACTGTATACAGTCAACTTGCACTCCGAAAATTTGGCAATGTAACATAAATCGAATAAGTGGGGGTATATAATACTATATTTTCCCATAATGCCATAAACCAATCGGAACACAAGCTCTACCTACATAATGTATGGATGTATATACCTTCTTGGTCCAGTCAAAGCCCCCATGGAGCCTCATGTGTCCATTTAGAGCCTTGTTGTTCTTGAACGACCGGCCACATTCCGGACATTCCACTGACTGGACTGGGCTGAGGGGGGGAGAAGAGAAGTGAAAGTGAAAAGTAAACAGCCAATTCAATATTCAAGAGGAGAAGTAGAAAGAGGGCAGCAAGGGAGAGAAGAAAAACGCGAATTTAGTAGCGACTAACACCTGGGTATGTATGGCTAGAGTGGGAATAAAGCATGCTGAGATACCAAACAATTTGTGTAGTGGAAACATGCAGTGTCAGTGTCAACAAGCTACTAAGTGGCCTAGACCCCTCCACTGATTGATTCACAATGGCGTTTGTACAGTAGGTATAATTATACATTTGGGAGAGTGAAGGAAGGAGAGATTCCGATACTAAAGTTGTACAGTCCTCCTGAGAGTTTTGAAACATGATCAGAGAGAGCTCAGACTGTGGTGGTGTTCTATTGCACCCTACCAACAACACCACACAATGTACGCATCTCACATAACACATGTATGTATATAGGTAGTGTCTTACTGCATACATGTGTGCTGCGTTTATGCTAGTGCTGCAGATAACTTACACTTCTTCCTGTTTTGGCTCCTGTAGAAAGGAAAAGAGGGAGAGAGAAGGGAAGGGGGAGATTTTAAGAGTTATATAAGAGGCACACCATAATTTTAACGCAGCTATACATACATGTACAATACGTACAGGTGTGAAGACAAGTATTTGCAGTTGACAGTGTGTAAGTCGTGCGAAAACTAACGAGTTTCCCGGGATTCTTGTTCATGTCGTCCATCTTGTGATGGTGGGGAGGGAGGTGGGAGTGAGGCTGGGGATTGCGAGGGGAGAAAGTGTAGTACCAAATTTCACACAATGGGAATTTAACTGCTACGGCAGCAAAACATTGTGTATGATTGGAAAATTGTGTTCTATTTTTCACAGCATTTTTAGTAGCAATTATCCATTTGCATGCTGAAAAACACTGTTGCATTTACCTATACACATTATATGCATGCAGCACATGACAGAGTGTATAGCGTGGGACCTAAGAAGAAACACAATGCAGGCACAAACTTGAACCTTTAAACCTAACTACGTGATGTGCGTTGTACAAAGTGGCAGAGTTGAGAACATCAGTGACATAATAAACAAGCAATTCAGACGACGACAAGGTACGTAATAGGATTGCTCTCTTACTCGTACCATTCCCCAGTCGACGAAGGGCATCCCTGTGTGGTCAATTCTGACAGAGATGTAGGGACTGTGGGGAGGCAGGTAGGGGCGGCTCCGGGCCCGGGGAGGACCGGTCGGTAGGTCTGACTGAGAGGGTGGGGAGAGGGGTAGTGCCGCGCCAACTCCATCGCTGGAGACAGGGGGAGGGGGCAAGAAGATGGGGAGGAGTTGAAACGAGAGGTCACAAAGAAGCCATGGTAATGAAAGGGGTTAGAATTGAATTGATGATGAAAGGACTTTGATAAGGGATTAACAAAATGCGCACAGACACATGTGATGCAGCTCTCGTAGAGGGTGGAAAAGAGAGAGAGACACAAGGAATGGAGTTAGGCAGGCTCACCGACAGTGTGTGTGGAGTGAGGCTGAGGGTGTGAGTAAATGGGGTGTGGGGAGTGAGGTGAGTGTGGGGAGTGAGGGGAGAGCGTAGTGTGGAGCTGGGCCTGTTGCTTGTCGAGCACTGACACATGGACTCCTCCGATTGCAGCGGTGGAGACAGGGAAAGGGGAGGTGAGCTGCTCGGTTGGACAGGGAGGGATGAAGGAACCGGGCATCGGTTGAGACGAGACCGTGGGCAGAGGAGGAGGGAGAGGGGGGTAACTGGGGTAGTAATGAGGGTACATTGGGTTTGAGGGGCCCGGAAACATGAGGGGAGGAGCGTAAGGACCGGGGTAAGGGTAGGCGGCGTGGGGGGCAAAGTGAGGGATTGTTGTTGCTGGGTATGGAAGAGTTGGCGAACACGTGCTCTGGACCATCAGAGGTTTCTGAACCAACTCCTCGGGAGTGTTTCTAAGATCATGTGACTGCTGCCCCGAGTCATGTGACACCACCTCGACCTCTTCCTCCCTGTCGTTGGTTTTCGGGCCTGCCTCGTTTCTCCCCGTTCCCCCTGCGGGTCCGCTGAGAACGCTGACAAAAACGGACCCCCTAGACCCCCCTCCTTGCTTCCCTCCCCCACCACCACGAGCATCCTCCTCCATAGCTGAGCCACTCCCCTCTCTTCCAGTTGGACTCTCGCCCTTTGTCTCAGACACCACTTCCTCGAGACTCGCTGCACTGGCCTTTCGGCTGGCTTTTTCTCCTCTCCCTCCCTTCCCCTCGGCTAGCTTCCCGTCCTCCCCGGACGCCCTCCTCTCCTTCTTCTTCTTCTTCCTCTCCGTTGTGGTCGGTGCAGACGAGGCTGAGTCCCCCTGACTCTTGCTGCCGGGGGCCGGGAGCGGTGTCTCTGCGTCTAAGTTCTCTCCTCTCTCCTCAGCCTCCTTCGCTGCACCAGATTTCTTTCCCGAACTCCCAGTGCCATCTGAGGAGTGTTTCTCTTTTGATGACGAACCCTCTCCCTTTGATTTTCCTCCACCTTTCTTTTCGCTCTCGGCAGAGTCTCCAGAGAGCGACCTTCCTTTCCCCTTCCCCTTACCTCCACCACCACCACCACTGCCACCGCCAGAACCCCAAGCTCCTCCTTTTCCCTTGCCAGACGAGGTTGGTGTCATCGAGTCTTTCTTCTTTGGCGGTCGTCCTCTGCGACGTTTTGGCGGCGCCGTCGGCTGGGGAGGAGCTTCGTCAGTCTCCTCTCCTTCTCCCTCTCCTTCCTCCGTCGCAGACTCCTGGGCAGCAGTAGTAGCTTTCTTGCTGTCGGCAGACTTGTTCAGAGAATCGGATTTCGACGCCGATTGCTTGACTGGTGTCTCTGCCTTGCTCGATTCCTGGCTGGGCGAGGGAGAAGGTGTCTCTCGTTTCGGCCAGCGTCCCCCGCCCCCTTTCTTCCTCTTCTTGATGCTCGGAAGACTCACAAACTCCACGTCCTTCTTCACCGCCGAGTGAGACCTCGTCATGGGACTGGTCTTGGTGGGTGTGGTCACACCGGGTGCCAGGGGGCTGTCGGAATTTGACAATGACCGGGTTCGTGGACGCTGCGTGGAGATTTTCCGATTCGGTTGTTTCCCGGTGGACTTCTCCCTCTTGTTTCCCTCACTCTCTTCCCCTCCCTCCCCCTCCTCTGCCCCCTCTTCCTCCTCGTCTTCCTTCTCGCCGCCAGAGGCCGTAGCCACTCTCTCCCCACTGCTCAGTTGCATGGCTTTAGTGGGCGGAGCTCCATACGTGGCACCACGCCCTCTCTTCACACCTGCAGAGGCCTCCTTCTTGTCTCGTTTCCCCGCCTTGTCTGCCCCGTCCAACTGAGTGACAGCCTCGGTTTCCATCACTTCGTCTCCTCCGTCTCCCTCACTGCTTGGCCTGGGGAGACAAGAGGGAAATTTATGCCAGCTCATGCCAGCGTCTAATCTGTGCTAATTCATATGAAAACTGCCCGCACACATGACCAAATAGCGGGGATTTCCAGTGCATTGCATACATAGACGCAGAATAAATGCTGACCGATGTTTTTTTCCTAGTATTTGCACTGTGAATTACAAACTCGCACACGAGTCATTTTTACCTAAAATTCAACCCGAACCGAATTAAGAGTAGCAGAAAACGAGGGAGCACTAACCAACTTGAGATGAACACTTTGCTTACGTTTCAACCACACGAAGGATGCTGTGAGGATGGCACATGTACAGGGTCAGAGTATAACGATATTCATGCAGGGACTGGTGCTCCCAGGAAGCCTCATTCATTGCCACACTATTGACTGTGAATACCCTCTTCCAGCACCCCACACTCACCAACCAACTCATTTCGCCAAAGCTGGTTGGGTTTCTCATAATTATTTTGCCCAGCCACCTGAGCTGGGTCAGTTCCTGGTATGTTAGGTCATTACACAGTGCCTTTGCCCAGCTTAGCTGCCTCTGGTGTAGCTGGTGAGCTGCGAGGTATGTTTGTAGAGCCCCTTCTGGCTAGAACACACAGGAAGTAGCTATGGCCCGGCCTGTTCAGCTACTAGAAAAACCTCGGTCAACTGTCTCCGTAGGTATCTAGAGCAGAGGAGTGGGACTACACCAGCTTGACCAGTCAGTTGAGCTATAGTACCGGGGTAGCTAGCTACTGCCACCGCAGTTGGTCAAACCTATCCACTCAACTGGAACGAGGAATGAAATACTGGGTTTGTGAGATTCCAGCTGTGTGGGAGAGATGCTCCAATGAAAACCTGGGTTTGTGCTATTGCAGTAGTTTTAGGAGCAGTTTGACAGCTCCTGTCCAAGGAAATACCAGGATGCATAATTACACGGAGTTCAGCTCTCTACACACACATATAACGTATAGGATTTTGCACCAGTTAAATACACAGTTATGCCAACTGCAAGCTAATAGGCTACACGATATGCTAACTGCAACACACAATGCACACTGGACAAAGGTATTGGATGCAAGCATGCACCTTGTCCAGGTACAGTGGTCATGGTTCCCTGTACTGCATGGTGTGTATAGCCACTCAACACTCAAGTTAAAAAGCAGCATTGTACACTAAGCCAGCTATGTAGGTGTGTAGGTATTATGCTGGCAGCAGAGAACCGGGTTAGCTGGCAGAGGGAATAGAAGCCTCTCTGAACAACCATCTCCTCCACACAAGGGACTGTGAGAGTGTTATTCAGCAATCTCAGAAGAGAGGGCAGCCGAGCCATTAGCACTCTGGAGGCTGCTGTTTGCAAACTGCCCAATTCTGCTTCAAACATAAGATCCTTCAGAACAGTATATATATACACACAATGGGCAACAGTAAAAGTGGATGTGAGTGACACGGGCAAGCCAAGACAAGCCGTGATATTTTCCTTTCCGTATGTGTGTGTGGAGGTACTTGTGAAAACAAAATGTTTGTGATTCAGATCCCACCAGAGGTTTGACCCACACACACACACTAGTACACCCACTCTTCACTAGAGTTGTACAGGTAGAGCACCATTGCATCAGCCATACTCATGAAAGTGTAGGTGTATGCTGCACGTGATACATACCTATTAGCAGAGCTTGTGACGGCTGCTTTATCTGCAGGAGAGAGAGAGAGGGAGAAAAAGAGGTGTACTGTCAGAAATACAGAGCTACACGTGTTTCTGTGCAAGCAAAGGTGTTAAGCGCCATGCTTTCCATCCACCCTTGTTCGTTGCTGGTGGGCCTACAACTGCTCGAGCTGTGTTCTCTCAAAACCGACATAACGAAACAGCTGTGCTCTGTATGAGCACAGCCAATGGAACAGAAAAACCCATTCATCTACTCAGGGTCAACGTAGTAAGTATAGTTTTGGTCGCGTGTTAGAGGTTGACTGAGTGTGCTCGTGGTTGCTGTTACTGTGGAAGAGAAGAGGGTGGGGAAGGACTCGCGCTCTGCACTATTATGAGCATTCAGTGGCCATACTTCGTGTCAGAGTTAGGACATTTCAGATGGTGTGCATGAATCGTGAAAAACAACCCAGTACTGTAACCCTCGCTGGGCATGCGTGCCGAGGGTTGATTGCAGAATGTGTACACCAGAAGTGAGGAAGAAGGTGAGAGAGATAGAGGGAGAGAGACAGGTAGAAGAGGAAAAGGAGAGGGGAGTGAGTGAGACACGAGAGAGGAAAAAAGGAGGGATAAAATGAGGAGGTTGAAGAGGTCTGTCTGGAGACAGCAGCTAGCCTCCAGGAGACTAATCCAATCAAAACGGAGAGCAGCTGCTGGTCCTCAGGAATACAAACAGACAGGACATGCTGGCTGGGGCCTCCATGGACGACCTCCACTCCAGTGCCAACACACACACACATCAGCCACACCAGATATACTCAGCTACTATATACCACATCCACACATGTGCGTGTATATAACAGCGCTGGAAAGCAAATTTTGCAGGGCCAAACTGAAAGTACAGGCGTAGAAATGATCTCCGGGTATTTTCTGGTGACTAGAGGGTATACACCCTACAGCTGAAGTGTAGGAGCATGTACTGCAATATTTTCAGGCAGTAGACAATAATTCTGCACGATACACACTTGGAACTGGCATCACCAAAACCTGCTGGGAAGGGCCAGTTACTTCAGCTAGCAAATCCTCATATGGCTAGTACTGCTTTCTCCCTGCGGCACGCCTCCTTATCCAGAGTGCACTGTTCACACACAATGATAGTGAAACCAGTTGTACCCTCGTTCTCCACCAGAATAGTCCACCCCTGCTGCTAAGAAGTGTTGATTACAGAACACTCTATTAACTGTGTTACTTGGCATTCAGGAAAATTCGACTTTCCCTATTCTGGAAAAGGTGGAGCAGTTTTCGACTTTTCTGGAGACGTAGATCAGATAGAACTTTAGTTGGAGCGTGCACTGTACGTTTTAATGCATTGTTCACTGTGCAAGAACTAGACTACCAGCACACTAAGGTGGGAGCTGGACTGTGCAGCAGTAGAAGAGAATGACAACAGGTAAAGTGTACTATCTTGCACATACATCTGTTTTCACGCCATTTTTCCTAGTAGCCATCCATAGTCTGAGTGAGTGTGATTGTGTAAGCACCGTAATGTATGTTTGCACGAGCAGGGCTGTGGAGTGAGAATTGGCCTGAGCCAGTGTAAGTCCAAGGGTCACACATGAGGCGCCAGTATATAGCAACCACCAAATTGAATCACACGCCACAAAGCAACACTGGACAACTTGCATTAGGCTCTATACCTGCCCATTGAGACCATAGGCTTCTCCATCTCCGTACCATAGCTGACATTCAATAGCTTCCTCTCTCTCTCTCTCTCTCTCTCTCTCTGTGCTCCCACACCTATCCCAAGCTGCTGATATTTCTGCTGCTAACTCACACACCTCAACACTAGAGTGTTTGCTTGCTTTGTGTGTGGAAATCGATACTACATACAGTACATACTGTATGTCCCAACGAACACACTACCACGACACTGCTCCCTTTCTGCACCTGTTTGCCTGCTCTCTGCCGAGTAATTTACCCCTTTTGCACCTGCATATGTACCTGCTCCACTCTGAGATCTTAGCACGGCCTCAGAAGTTCAGAAATATCACCAGGCGTTTGGGTCTATCAACTCCTGCATATACTGTCTACCGCATCTTCTCATGCACACCTGCATGACAGGACAGGTCTGCAGGACCTGAGGGTTACATGCTCACATCATTCTGCAATACCACGTCCACATGCAGAACTGAGCTGCACTCCTAACAACTGTATACATGTAACACACACACACACACACACACACACACACACACAAAATGCACAATAGCCCCAAATCCTGTTATGCCCCCACATGACAATCACACGGCTTGCATGTCCTGCCTACAGCCAAACTGGTCTACACTCTCTATGTAGCCAGGCTATTATTTCATTTACTGGGGACTTGTCCGTGTGTGTTGTGGATCTGATAAGACCTCGCAAATTTATATGTGCAGACGGCACCGTGAATGAATGCACGCTTGGGGTACACTAGACCAGTGTAAAATACCTGAGTTAAAAAAACAATGTCGACACAAATGCAAGCAAACTGCCTGCATACACACATCCAACGCGTGTTGGATGTGTGTATGCGTAGACGGAGGGGAAAAGTGGGCCATGGAAATCACAAATTGCAGTCCAAGATGCAAGAGCGCCATTCCACATTATACTACACGCCGGGTAGTGTGTACTTCATAGAGCAGGGTCCATTAGCACCATGTTTGCCCTACAAGAACAAGGCCTCGGATATTTGCCATTCCTGCTCCAGCACTTGCAAAACACCTTGTACTGCAACCCAACAACTGCTCCCTCCCCCTCTCCCCTTCTCTTTCTATCTCTCTCTCTCTCTCTGCACAGGCACACGTACAAACACTGACACTGTACTGACAACTGTACTCTTTACTTTCACTGTCAATGCAGTGCACGGTAGGCAGTGACCTATGTGTGTGTGTGGAGGGCGAGACCTACTCTAACTGACCCGTGCTCCTTGCTTTGTGCTAAATTCCAGAACTTCCAGACCTGGTTTTGATACATGTACTGCTGGCACAGACAAGTTTGCAAAGGCTTTGACTGTTTTTCCTTTTGTCCGGGAATAGTAAAGCTCACACCAAAAGTTAATATTGCATGCATCTAAAATGCATTATAAACTGCTGACGTGCATATGTACTATGGTAATCCAGCTTTTCCACACACTACATGGATAGGTAGACATGCACACAAAACACTACACAACCCAAAGGCATGGGGTAGTGTGTGTGTGTTTAGCTGAGGAAGTGAAAACTAGTGAGCCACTCAAGACCCAGTGTTTGAAGGAAAACTCACAAAGAAGGGCTTGTGATAAAAGGCTTTTTGATAACACTTCATCCCATTGTGGGTTGGTTGCCAGAGGCAAAGGAGAGAGAAAGAGTGAAGGGGGAAGTTTGCATTGCTGGTCCCCACATCCACTATATATGCACAGGGTTTTTCTAAGGAGAGGAAACCCCATAGGTAGCTCTGAGCTGGAGAGTACACACAAGGTGGCAAACAGAAAGAAAAATGGCCAGGCAGGGCACTAGGCTACACAACTCTTTCAGCTGCAAAACGTATATACATACTTAATACACACACTGGAGGCTTGCAAAGCGTGCAGACCATGAATGTCATTAGAAGGGCAAGCTGAGCCCTTTCTCTGGCTCCCTAGACCTCTAGCACTGGGCTGAGGCAGCTACTACATGTGTATTGTATACACCAGCTACTAGCTCAGCTAGCCCCGAGCACCCAGGCTCAGCTACACCTACCCTGCCCACTGGCAGTCCGGCCTACGTTGTTTGCGCGCATCCCGTCTCACCTTCTCGCGTCTCGCTCGCGTCTCTCTCGCCGTCAGCGGCTCCCGACGACTTCCTGGGTCCGCCGCTCCACTGTCTGCCCCCTGGGACCTTCGCAACGGGCGCCGCTCGCGAGTCGGCACCGGTTTCCCCGTCGCCCGCTTGCTGCTCCGCGTCTTTCTCTTCTCGAGCGGCGTTGCTGGAGCTGCTTCCCAGCTCGTCTTGGCCAGCCGCTGGTCCACTCTTGGCAGCTCGCCGAGCCATCCCGCTGAGCATCCCACGCGCCGGCTCTGAGGACTCTGCGGGCACCTCCAAAAATGAATGTCGGTATGTGTGTGTAGCTATGCGTCAGGATCGAAAGTGCTGTCTTCGACCCGACCCAGAAAATTGCTGCAGAGCTTCTCCGTAGCTGCAGGTGTGGGAGGGAGAGAGGGAGGGAAACAGAGAGGAGCTAGGTCAACTCACGTCCAAATTTACAAGAGGCATTTCAAACCTACAAGCCCTCACCGCTGGCGCTCAACACACACAAAAGACGCACACTAATGGCGATACACTCCTCCAACTGTTATCACACATACACAAAGTCGGCTTGGAGGTCAAGCGAGTCTTGGAGGGAAGAACGCTGGAGCGGCAAACAAAGACCGCCTGAAACAGATTCCACTTCCCCCCACACCCGGGCCTGTGGCTACGACCAGCTACATGAGCTAGCTCAGCATGCAACAAGCTGCCCCGCGCCTCAAGCTCCTCTTCTCCCCGCGCACTGCGCCGCGTCCAGCCGCCGTCTACCTCCACACCTCCTCCTGGTCTCCACCGGCAGTTCACAGCTGAGAACACGCCGCAGGGAACACGGTTCTTGGACCTCCAGCCAGCACACGTTCTTGGGGAAGCTGGAGCTCGGCTCGAAAGGACTGTGCGGTTTTCCGGTATTCATAGAAACATTACGTCACTGACCAATCAGCTGCGCAGATGCAGCAGAGACCATGTGGGCTGGGCTGATACACTAAGTCTTAGACCCTTTCATCAGCAAAACTCCTATTCTTTTCAAACCCATTACAGTTTAGGATAACTCCTGAAAATCAGAACAGCTATAAATTACTATTATTATTGTGACACCTCCAACCTTTTCCAGTGAATAATATAATTTTGTTACCACATAACAATATGGACCTAATTTAATCTCACAAACGTCCGATGTCCTAGCCAGACATACTACACAAACAAGACACGAGAAAAACACACAAACTATAGATACAACAGTCACAGAGATTTTTTGAGGGAGAAACGAGACTTGGAAAAACCAGGCGACGGCGAAGAAGAAGAAGAGGATTTCGACGATGGAGCCGGTAAGGCAGCCCTGATGGTTGAGTTTGGCGGAGACGAGGTCGCGAGTACTGAGGTGAAGGTTCGTGTGGATTTCCCTGCGTCACGGGCAACCTTGAGCTGCTCTAGTTGCTTCCAGACCTTCTCTCTCTTAGCACTCTCCTCCTTCCGTCCCCTGTGTGGTTTGGATCACATACAGTGAAACCTCGATAAAGGAACCTCTTAATAAAGGACACCTCTCTATAGAGGACTGCCCCATACTAATACATTACACTGAGCTCCAAATATGAGACACCTCTGAAGGAAGGACACTCTGATGTTCCCAAGGTGTCCCTTATTCATACGTTTTACTGCAGTTGACACCTCAATATCACAGGGGAAGGCGAGAAAAAAGTGACAACCATGTACGGGAGGACACACAATTAAGTGTTGTGGTGGCAAGCTAAGAAATGAGACCCCGTCACAGATTACCTCTGGCCTTCTGTCTTGTAGGCGTGTGAGAGTTCATCGTACAGCGTGCTATCCATCTGCATCATGGCCTTTAGGACATTATACACGAGAGCGACGATATTCCTGTGGTTGTGTGTGTGTGTAAGTGGTAAGGGTATGTACGTATTAGTGTGGCTCTTGGCATAAGGGAGGGAGAGTGCGATGTGGAGTTGGGGGCTAACAGCCAGTGTTGGCAGGTATTGATATGGGAACTAAAGGAGCTACCAGCTGTTACCCAGGACATCTCTCCCGCTGTTCCTGCCTCCAAATTGGCCGAAATTAGTGTCAGCGGTGGGTCAGCAGAATTACGCGGGAAGTGTGTAATTACGGGAGAGATTGTGTGTAATTGTGAATGAGAGTATGTTCTCCACCAGAGTGCCATACTTACATCATACACTTGGTATGGCACCTACAACTCTTACAGGCAAAAAGTCACAAAATTTCAAACCCACTTAGATGAAGACACTCAAGTAGAACCAATTTCACCTTTACTTCAGAATATCATTACTAACCGCAGTCAAATGCTCTTCACGAAATTTCCCCCCTATTAGTACAAAAGACGGGTCGTGTGTTTACTTGTTCCAGTGTTCCTTGGAGATGCGATAGAGAGAATCAAACAGAATGGGCATCACGACCCCAGCGTTCTTCTCAAAGAGATGCAAAACGTTTTCATTGTTCCAGTAGTACAGGGCCCTCTCTGCTACCTGCACGGGAGGCAAGGCAGAGAGAGAGAGAGAGAGAATGAAGGTACATCGAGCATACAATTCAAGGGGGGGAAACCTTTAGCAGGACACAAAGGACGCCAATGACTCTCAAAATCTAAGTGGTGACGGTTTGAGCAAAAACAGTAGTGGTTTTGGTTGCCTTGACAAATGCTGCAAAATTTTCTCCCAAAGGTTTCCTGCTCTGCGCGGTGTGGAGACGTGATACCTGGAAGTGGGGGCTGGAGACACACTTGGCCAGCTGTCTACAGAGAGGTTCCTGGATATTCACAAACTGGGCCGGCTCCATGATGTCCAGTATCTCCTCCAGCTCTCCCAGCAACATCACCTGCGAGAGAGCGAGAGAGAGACGAGAGAGAGAGAGAGAGAGAGAGAGAGAGTGCATCTGGTGTTTGCAAGAATCTCTGTAAACTAAGTTCGGATGTGTAATGAGCGACGTATGTAATGTTACTTCATGATTTCATTATTTAATTCTCGTATCCGTTGTTGTCTTATGTATGCGGGTGTTGTCTTGATTGCTGAGTTCCACTGCTGAGGGTCTGTCAATACTGGTTGGCTGAACTTAACACATGTTACGACTTTAAAGTGAAAATGCATTAAAAAATTCAAAGGCAAGATGATTGTATGCATAGGGTCAGTAGCTTTGTGAACATCATATGACTGTCATGAAATTGCGGCAATCGTGAAAATCTGATTGGTCGCACCAGGATCTTGAGGTGACAACTCACTATCCATTGCGGAGTGTATTGCATGGGAGAATTACTTACTGTAGTACAGCGGAACTTTCCCTTGAGAGATAAAATTTCCCAAAAATTTCCGGAGACTGATTGTCCTAAAACTGAGATCCCTATCCACAAAAGTTCGTGAGTAAAAAATTTTAACAACTCTCCAAATTTGCCTCAACTGAGATTAGTGCCATCATTATGCCCACACAGAGTAAAGCCCCGTATATAGACTTCATGTTGGACCTGTACCAGTACACACACTGATGGGAGGAGCAAATGTGTGTGTTTGTTGTAAATACATGCATGCTTGTCTCAACGCTACACAAAGGGCGTACATGTGGGAGCAAACAGCGGTGTGTGGATATGCACACATATCCAGCAACAACCACACACACACACATGGTGTGTAGATATGTACAACTGCAGTGCATTTCAAAGCAACCACCAAGTTCAGTGCCTCACTGCAGCAGTATGATGTATATATACATGTTGGACTAGCAGCACTCCCTTTAGCTGTAGACCCTGTCATAGACACACACACACTGTCCCATCTCCCATGCTGTGCACAAACTAGGCTATGTATGTTCCACCCTCCCCATGTACACAGGAACAGCAAGTAGTACATCAGAGGCCCCCGAGGTTCACTCCACTGTACAATAATTAACCTCCCCCTCTAATTTTAATGCTAATTTTTTGCTCTTGCATTGAACAACACCACCTGTCCTCAAAGATCCCTCTCTGTTTATATACACCGTCACTATACATGTACACATGCATAGTACATACCTCTTTAGTGCTGTTGGTCTTTGGCCAAAGCCGCAGTAGTCCCATCATCACCTTATGGACAGAGAAGGACACGATGACACACTTTACCGATTAAATGAACTCAAGTCACAGAAGGGTTAAGTTGCAAAAGGGTCGCATAGCTCTAGAGGGTTAAACGGCTGCAATCACACTAAACAGTTGTAAAGGCTGCAGTCAATGTAAAACGGTTGTGCAGCAATACAGTAAGTGGTTGTGCTCACAGGTTCAGTGAGGGACGGATCTTTCTCGAGGAACTGGACAACGGAGTAGGCCAGCTGTGCCTGGTACTGTCCCAGTGGCTGGGCCTTGTGGAGTGGGATGAGCACCTTCGTCAGGAACATCTTGTGCTCATCTTTCAGTGGCAGGGCAAACCCATTGACAATACTGAGAGAGAGAGAGTGTGTGTGTGTGAGGGGGATATGGGGTGAATTGAAGGAGAAGAGGATGTGCCATTTTCCTCTGTAGAACGTAGCAATTTGTTTATCCTTATGGAAAATTGGACCATTCAGTTTACACTGTCAGGGAAATGATTGTGTGGTTTTCAATCAGTGTGTGACTGCACACAGCAAACAGCATGACTTGTCTCAGTCTGTCTGTCTGTCAACTCAACACGTGTGTGTGTGTGTGTAACTTCAGCTCAACACCAATCCATACGTATGTACACATCATCATAATAGTACACTTTATGCATAACACACATATACGGTATAATATATACCTTCCAGATCTCCAGCAGTTCTCCAATTCCATTAAACTTCTCAGTCTCATATATGAACCTGAGAGAAGGAAACACAACACGTGTTGCATTTAGTCGGAGGAAAGTCCCAGAATAGAGCTGACCACAAAGATGAGAGGAAATAAAAAGAGTTTCCCAAATGGGAATTTGCTGAGTGATGTTTACGCTACACTGGCAACTTGAGGCAAAGGAGTACTGTGATTTCCTTTGATTACTTCTGCCAGGGTTGTGAGGTTATCACGGAGAGCAGAAAGTAAACACAATGCTACTACAATCTCAGTCACACCCCCGTCATCAGTAGCAATATTCATACACTTGGAACGCCACCAGTAAACAAGGCAAAATGCATACACCTCAGTGGTGTGATGATGTAGCCTCCCCGTGTCATACTTAATGCATGGCACACTAAAGTACTATGTCGGCTTTGTCGAGTGCTTTCGTCGCCTACTATGACAGATGCTATTCCTGTGCAAAGACTCCACCCACTCATCAAGTACAAAATGAGAGTATCTTTATTAACATAAACAGTTACCACACTGAAGAAAATGACTAGGTAGTGTAATATATGCAGGGGTTGGCTCGCACTGACAAAAAGAAAGATGTGGTAGGTTAGAATTAGTGCAGTTGACGTCATCACCTGAAGAATACGTTGTTGACGTGTCTCCTGATGTGGGAGCGGAGGCCCAGGAACTTGCCGTAGATGCGGTGGAAAATGGTCTTGAGAAAGTCTCTCTCCCGTCGGTCCTCCGAGTCAAACAGCTCCAGTAGCTGGACCACAAAGGCCTGATTGATGTGTCTCTTGGCCAGAGGCACGTTCAGCTCTGAGCTCTCCAGCAACCTCAGGAATACTGCGTACACCAGCTGCACACACACATACACACACACACACAGGCAGGTTAGATCTATCTTTGCTGACTAATGCTGAAATCACGTTGAGACCTGCTGCTACAGCAGTGTTCACAAGCGTGCAATTCCAGATCAACATGCTAGATTGATGCACAGTGCATCTGATACTGTGGACCTGCTAGAGCAGCATTCTCAACCATAACACTAATGCTGAATTGATGTGTGTTGAACCCTCAATTTCTTTCAGGGGTTGGGGGTGGAGTCTCATTGCTTGGTAACAAGGAAACAAACAACCTTCCTGTACATTAATTTTTGTCCCAATGGAAAAACCAAGAGTTTGATGAATTGTGAGTATGGTACCTCAAGGTGGGGCCATGAGGCCTCACAGGGAGGTTCGTCTTCCTCTGGGTCAAATTCCACAGTGACAACTGGAGGAGGGAGGCTTCTGAACATGTTCTGAGAGGCCTGGGTGAGAATGAGTCGGCAGAGACACAGCTAATAATGTAAGATGGTCACCCTGTTTTGTAATAAAGGCCCCAATTGATGGCAGGCCATATAGTGTGTGCGTGTGTGTATGTGTGTACATGTGGGTGTGTGCACGGGTAGAGTACCATTTGAATGAGAGCAGGGTAGACCGGTGCAATGAGGGCCCCGGAGACCATTGTGATGTGGTCCAGAATCTCAGTGAGAGCTGCTCGCTTCACCTCCTTGGCCCGCAGGTCACTCATGGGGTCCGCAAAGTCAAAAATGAAGCAGCACTGCTCTATCTTCCTCAGGAGAAGGTTGGACTTCTCTGACGGCGAGGCATCTGGGGGACGATGGTTTGGGGGTGAGAGGGAGAAAGAGGGAAGAACACAAGAGAAAGTAACAGAGAGGGGAGAAAGAAGGAAACAGTGAAGGGAAGAAATCAGTGCTCTCTTTGAAAATGCACATCGTACAGGTTCACATATACATGGGTGTTGCCATAGAAATCATGGGGTGTGAAAACAATGCCAGAACCTTTGAGCAGGGGCAGTGGTTTGTAGTCGAGAGGGACTTTCTTCTGTCTGAAGCGAGAGGAGCTCTGAGTCGGCGGCCTCTTGAGGAGGGCGGAGGGTTTCCGGATGGGGTCGGCATTGGGGACACGTGAGGTCATGGCAGCTGGGGAGAAACGTGACGACGGGGAGGTGGGGGAGGGGGTGGAGTAGGGACGCAGGGGACTGAAGTTGGGGGAGGAGGGAGGTGCGGTTTCTCCAGCCCGCCTGCTGATTGACTGAGACGGTTCGGGCTGTCTTGTTATGCGAGCAAGAGGAAATTTTCTCTGCAAAAGTGGAATAGATAGTGTACCTCGTCAAATTGAATGGCAGCAGGACTGGCGCCTTATGTGCAAATTGCTATATGCACATTCGTCTCCACGCATGTGCTACCAGATCCCAAAGGCGCTGGCCACGGTGCCACGGTGATGTAAAAGCAGAAAACTATGCAAAAATACCCCCTCCATCCCGTTCTCGTCTTACGTACCTCGTGAGCCATTTTGCAGCGACAGCTGGCACAGAGAAACTCGAGCAGGTTAGAGCGTGCAGTTAGCTAGCAGCTCGGGTAGCACCACACACACCCAGAAGAGAAGCTCAAACACAGTGTTTTCTCACGCGGCAAATGTATATCAGCTTCAACCACCTCCACAGGAGAGTGAGCTGAGACTCGGTACAGGAGAGCTCAGCTGTGAGAGGCGTTTACTACGCTGCTGACTGCCGTTGCTGTGCAAGCAGACACGCCTACTATTTCCAACCATTTCCAAATGACGCGCACCGTCAAAACATTTTGGATTTGGTGCGCGATGTTTGGGGAGAAGGCGCTGGAACTTGTGCGGGAGCTGAAGAGGTCTCAAGACGGAAACCTGCCCCCCTACAACGATGACGGCATCAGGCAGGTGGTGGAGGAGATGCGCACCCTCTTCGAGCAGAACCAGTTGGAGGTCCGCGCCACCACTGACGGGGAGAGGGGACTCCTTTCAGGTCCTGCACGTTGCATGTTGTTAGGGGTTCCTACATACACAGCTCAATTTTCAATGGAGAAAAGGGCCTCTTAGTGTAATAGGTCCATTCAACAAAGACTTGCCCGAAAACACTTGCCCATGTAGAAAATTCATGCAAAGTGTGTTCTATCCTATGCAGGTATCCAGTTGAGGCACGCCTGTCTGGAGAGGAACCAGCGATGCCTCCTGGCCTACGTCCACCACCGCATGACTCGTATCAGGGACTACCGGTGGCAGACGGGCAGCGTTCTCCCTCCCTCCTTCAGACTCAGTCTGTGCGAGCAGGAGATACAGTGGTTCACGCGCTACAACCGCTCACTGGCGACGTACATGCGGTCCATCGCCCCCACCGGTCTGGACCTCACGCAGCACCTCCAGCCTCCGAAGAGCCTGTTGGTGGAGGTCCGGTGTCTGGAGGACTACGGGGAGTTTGAGATGGAGGACGGGACGGTGGTCCTGCTGCACAAGAACACTCAGCACTACCTCCCAAGGTCTCAGTGTGAGCCTCTCATCAGACAAGGAGTACTGGAACATATCCACTGATGTAGACCGACTGCTTCACTTGCTCATATATATTTCACTTGCTCATACTCTTATTCAATGGGAAATTTTTTATGTGAAGCGTACAATATTATTGTGAATTGTAAAACGGAAGATGTTTATGATTCAAAGCCAGGGTCCTTTGCGTGTGAAGTATCAGAATCCCCTCTATTCTCTTCACCACCACCTCCAGCAGTTTCACGTCTTTCCTTTCTTTCCTCATCACTCTTCAGTTTTTCCTTTTCTTCCTCCTCACCCCCACCAGGACCATTCTCTGCTGACTTGACCTCCTTGTCTCCTTGTTCCTCTACTTCCATTTTAACTCCACCGCCCTCACCAACCTCCCCGCCCTCACCAATCTCCCCAGTCTGGGGTGGGGCGTTAGCTGAGGGGCTGGGTTCTACTGATATCAACGGGGAATTAATCGGTACTCCTGATCCAGTAGGATTAGACGAGGTACTGTCAGACTCTGTTCGTGTAGATTTCCCTCCGGAACCACCCTCTAAGGTGTTCAATAGTTAGAAAAAAGATGCATAGAACCAAGTCGGCTTTAATGGTCTGTTGTCCTCTCTAGCTGCAGCAGGCACTGTGGAACACACTCAGTGAACAATCTGAGAATAGGTACAGTGCACGGTAATAATCTTATATACCACGTTCCTGAGAATCCTGAATGACTGAAGGCTCAATGGGGTAGACATGGTGGAGATATCGGCAGTAGAGTTTGTAGTCGACTTCTAGGAAAACACAGAATATGATTCTGTCCACCTGAGAAAACAAACAGATAGTATATAGGTGTACCCCAGAATACTCCTTGTGCTGGTGTTTCACTATGCACACCTTATCCCTGTTCTCTTCCAGCCATTTGCGAGTTGTCACCAGAGCTATTTGTGCTGCCTTCTCGTTAGGAAATCCTGCCAATATGCCACACTTTACGATGACACATACAACAATATCTTACTCACCGTACACTCCAGTAGCAATACAAGGGAAGGCCTACATCAAAAGAGAATAAATTATTTTTTGTACTACACACATTTCCACTGCATACAAGAGATCTGATGTTGTGCACAAGTGCCAACTCTAAGCAACGTCGGTAGCAGTTCTCCAGAACTGCTTTCTTGTTGTTCGTCGGTCCGACAGTGTGCAGAACATCTGAAGGAAGACATTTAAAAATATACCACTCTATATCTCTACTGCTGTTGTGCGTATCCACGCCAGCAACCTTCTTACATAACTACTGTTGTTGTACGTATATATGCACTGGTCATCCTCACTTACACTTGGCTGGCAGTCGGTATCCTGGATGAGGGAAACAACAATGAAAGTATCCTCAGGAGTATATTGCATGCATGCATGTTTACCTTGTGACAGTTTGGCGTCACCTGCGTCGCAGCCTCCCAATGTCCTGCACTCTCGCAGGAGGCCCCTCCCAGCTGCAGAGTGGATGGCCCCATCGACTCCGCCCCCTCCCAGCAGACTAGAGTTGGCTGCATTCACTATGGCATCAATCTCGAGTCTAGTTATATCCCCTCTCCACAGCGACACCTGCAGAAAACTCGGCTCTTTTCAAAGCTGGGGGAAATTCATCTCCTTCACCTTTCCATTCAGGTCATCATCCACACTAAACGCAAGTGGTTCTGACCTCTTCTTCATCTTGGGACGTGGAAGACCTAACAGTAAAATCCACTGTCTATAAAATTCGAAACACAATTATTTTCCAGCCTACTTTTGCAACCCTCAGACCACGGTGGGATGTCTGAAAGAGTCAGATAGTCTTTCTCACACTTGTAGTAATTTCTCTTCTTTTCAATTGGGAGCTGACTGAAGTCGATTATCTCTGCGTTGCAAAAAGAAATCCCATACCATGTGGGAACATTAGAAATGCATGCTCTCTACCTGACTCTGCATCACTGGATGTCCTGTCGTAACTGAGAAAGTTGCTAAAAAATCTTCTGAAAGTACCCCGACTTCGTTTGGGACTGGGCGAAGGATCGGGCTGGTTTACTGCAGGTGTGTCGTCCGTTGTAGCTTCCTCGTCCACTTTGACTGCTTTCTCGGAACTCTTCAACTCCTCGTCTGGCTTGTCTGGCGTCTCAGCAGTGGGACCACCGCCCCCGCCCGAGCTGTGTTCACTCGTACCATTGGGATCACCGCCTTGTTCCCTCTCCTGGTTGTCCATCACTACTGTGGCTGCCACTCCACGTCTCCAACTAAAGGGGCGAAAGGAACAAACCCGTGGCTTCGCTTCGGTACGCAACCTACCTCTGCAGCATATCGCTGGGCGCTTGAATGACAGCGCATGCGCATGATATCTGGGGACCGGGACAAGATTCTTATAAGTTGGTACTAGCAATATGGCCTGCGAGAGCAGCACAGTCACAGTCCCTCAATGTGTCGGTCAGCGTTTTCCACGTCACGGCTGAGCCCTTCCCTCTGACCCACTCCATCAGAATCCCACGCACAACCCCCTCACACCTACCCTGGTACTCACATCTGAGTCCCTCGACCAATGTCCCATCTTCATCGTTCAACAAGAGAATCCCAAACTGCATGTAGTTTGCCCCAACCTTCTGCGGTATCTTGAGTCGTAGAAGTTTCGGAAGAGACGGTTTTTCTTGCTCCACATATGGAGCATCCAGCCACACTTTATGTCGAATCTGAGCTGCCCCAGCGTCCTTCTCTCCCACGGAGCAGTGGAGAAGCCATTGGGACTCGAACTGGTAGACAGAGGCAGTGTGAGGGAGAGGCCGTCTCGGGCAGGGGCAGAGGAAGGCAGGAGTCACTTCGATCTTGGCGAGCTCCAGTAGATCAAAGACCTGGTTGATCGCTGCAAAGATCGTTTCTTGGACTTGGAAACAGAGCTTCGAAAGGGAGCTTGGGTCGGTGTCTCCATCAACGTGCATGTGGATCTGAAAGCTGTGGCCAGTGTCCACTAGGACAATTTGACCGGGTGTGTGAGGCTTGTAGAGCGAGACGACGTTGTGAGCAAGGCACTGCGGGGATCCATCGTCGGCTCTGCTCAACTTCCAGTCGTACACGGCCATGAGGCAGGAGATGGTCCTGGAGAAGCAGCTGAGGGGGACACAGTTGTTGGTGAACTGGACCACCAGTGGAGCTATCTCTGAGGGCGGGGGGAGGTGCTGTGGGATGTCCTTGTCGGGAATGGCTGATCGGAGACTCATCATCAGATACTCTCTCTTCTCTCTCTTGACACGGGGACCTGGTAGGCCGGTGGTAGCTGGACTGGCGCCTGATGTTGACTGAATCTCACGACTCAATGGAGCCAGTGTGAGTGTGTGGCAGAGAAGATCCATTGCATCACGAGGCTCGTACAGGCCTGGAATAAAGCATTGGGTGAGCTGCTTGTGGCTCAGGATTTCCTCTGTGATGATACCATCTCTCAGAGATGACACCAGTTTCTCTGTCACCCCCTTCACTTCCCCAGAGCCCACCTTGTAGCTGAACCTCACGACAGCATTGATGCACTCGAGCGGTGTTTGGGGCCTCGTGAAGACAAGATTGGGGAGGATGTGGCGAAAGTATAGGAGTGTGAACTGGCGGTGAAAGAAGATCAAGGCAGCTTCTACCACCTCTGGCTTCATCTTGAGCCTTGCTCCTACCATTAGGCACTCGTCAAGGCTGAGGATGTCTCTGTCGACAGTCTGTTTCGCAAACTCCATCAGTTCTTGTTCGAACACCAGAAAGGACCCTGGTGTCTTGACCACCTCTCCCGCCTCACTCTCGCTGACCTTACTGCGGATGAGATCCAGCCTCTCCGTGTCGTCATCTTCAGGATCCTTGAGGTTTAGGACAAACGGAATCTGATTGGCTGAGAAGCAGATGAGCTCTTCGTTGTTGGACGGCAGTAGAACGGCCCTCAGGGCCTGGTCGAATGCTTTGACCCTAGCCGGGAGCTCACCTTCTGGCACACAATCTCTGTGTGTTGCCACTACCAGTAGCTGGCAGCACTGGCCCTTTTGCTGTGAGAATCTCTTGGCTTGCAGGGTGGACGCAAGCTTCTGTATGATCTGCCTGTTGGAGTACTGGGAAGGTAAAGATCGCTTGTAAGCCTCTCCCCCCTCGTGGTAGTCGATGGAGGGATGCTCATCGAGGCCAAACATGAGATTCAGGACTAGTATAGCAAGGTGGGAGTGGTGGATGAGACTGGGCAAGTTCTCCAGAAGCTCCGGCTGCCCTCCAGTGTCTATCATGTGGACTAGCTCCAGCATTGAAAGCTTCTGTGAGCTCTTTGGGGCTTTCACCAGCCTTACCATGGACTGAATTGTGGAGCTCTGTGTTGATGGAAGTGGGGCAGGGAGGGTGGGGGAGGGTGAAGCACTAGCGGAAAGGGCTTTGGTTGCTGCTGAAACTTTAGAAATTGGGGAAGCGATAGATTCCAGAGGAGGCAGAGGTTTCCTATGGAACACACAGGCCAGGAACTTCAGGATCTGCATGTGTGAGAAAGGCTCCCAGGAGCTGGAAGCGGAGATGTTGATGATGTGGTGGAGGAGGCTTCGAAGCGACTGTTCTGCCACTCCAGTACTGGTGTAGAATTCAGGAGGGAGTTGGTTGAAGAGACGGCTGAGGAGCCACGTCTTCCCGGAGCCCATGAGACCAGTGATGACGGCCACGAGGTTCCTCATGTCCAGACTGCAGGACTCCAGAGCCTCATCTATGATCTCCTGGGCTCTTTTGTCACTTAGAGGAGCTGAAAAAAATGTGGCAATCTCATTACTCTAGCACTCAATGTCACAGTGTCACAATCATACCTTGTGGTTTGTAG